CATCATCATCATCATGATCAGTGATCATCTCACACCCAGACCAATAGCTATCATCATCATCATTACCACCATCACCATCATAATCGCCAACATCATCATTTTCATCATCATCACTATCAACATTATCATCAACATCATCATCACCTTGAATTTCATCATCATTATCATCACTAGACATCATTCTCATCATTATTAATCGCCAACATCATCATTTTCATCATCATCACTATCAACATTATCATCAACATCATCATCACCTTGAATTTCATCATCATTATCACCACTATCATTATCATCATTATCAACAAAATTAACATCATCATCATCGTCGTCATCAACATCCTCATCATCACTATCACCATCATCCTCACCATCACAACCAACACTGTAATCAACATAATCATCTGCACCATTATTACGACATCTTTTCTAATCATTATCACAAAGCACCACAACATGATCATCATTTCTTTCATTATATCACCATCATCATCATAACTACAGTCAAAAGGTTATTGCATAGTTCCAGAAATTATCCATACCTTCCCACGGAGAAATTTTTCAAAAAACCCCTTCCCCCTACCCCACGAAATTCCAATTTTCTCCCTTACAAACTTTGTAATTTTGTGCTTTCACTGACCCCTCCCCCCCTCTACCCCTAGGAAATTCAAAATTTCTCTGTGGGGGGTATGGATAATTTCTGGAACTACACATTCTACTGTAATCTATCCTTATGAACACATCAAAAAAATTACCTTGATGTATTTGTTCCAAAAACTTTACTAAACGTGTCTCCTTGGAGATCCTCAGGTAACTGTGGATACTCAGCCTAAAGAAATAAAAATATATCATCAGTTAAAATGTACCCTTCATGCTAACTTCAGCCAATCACAGGCAAGGTTTGCCCTTAATGTTTTACTGTACAAACTGGAACAGGGGCAGTAACAGGAATTTGTTAGGGGGGTGTCCCAAATCAAGAAATGTAGGCCAGGAGGTCCGGATAGGGCAAAACTGTGCCCGAGGTCTTGAATTTACGGACCGAGGCTGTTAGGCTGAGGTCCGTTTTCAAGACCGAGGGCACAGTTTTTCTCTATCCAGACCGACTATAGGACGGTAAATAACTTTTTTTTTACTTGTTTTTGTTATCCTTTTGTGTTGTCGTTTAGCGGCAAAGGAAACCGTACAGGGTGCGCGGGCAGATACTGACAAAATACAGCCCACTCAAACAGCCAATCAGAACGCATGATTTTTTAGGATAATGGACCGGAAAAAAATAAAGAGATATTATGCATCTTTAAGGTTGTTTGTTTCGCTTAAAAAAAAGCTAAAGAGTAATTACGGCATTAGGGAGATGTCTGGACAAGACATCCCCCGGATCCACCCCAGGCCTGTGAAAGTCAATTTAAAAATCTCTTAAAATTTGGGTTTTTTTGAACTTATTAAACTCATTAATAATTCATGAGGAAAACACAACAGAAATCACGACCGTAAAGAGTTCTGTAAATCAGATATAGAATCCTGTTCATTCGCATAAACTTTAAGATGGATTTTCTTGGCCAGATTCACTTTTATCTCAAACATTTTAGCGAAACACAAAGGAACTAACCTAGACGTTTGATAAGTAATCTACAGTATTCGTGTCCGTGTTGTATTCAATGTACAAACTCTTGGCTACGCCTCGAGTTTGTATATCGGATACAACACGGCCACTCATACTGTATATATTACTTACAGAGTATTTAACCATAAGGTAGTCTGAATTTGCTGGGACACCTTGGACTTCAAAGCAGTAGTCCTTGCTATCAGGCTAAAGGAATCAAATAAAGATGATCAGTAAAAAAATGTTAAAATCATTTTGTCCCCTAGAAGCCTAATCTTTCAACTCCCTTTAATACTGCTGCAATCCTTGCTTGACATTAGGTGTGGTTACATTTTCCTAGCCCGTTCACAGGATTGAACATGGAATTGGGGGTTGAATATTGAATTTGGGATTGAATATGGCAGATGTGACTAGCTAAAAACTAGTGTGAGCTGCGTCGGTGTTTCTAATGAAACAGTAATGATAAAAAGGTAAATTATACACCGTGAAAAAGATGAAAAAACTTACTGACGTTTCGGACGCTAGTCCTTCGTCGGAGTAAAAGAGAAAGAGGTGTTAGAAAGGAGTGTATATATGATAGAATAAGACAAAAGAAACCAATGACAGCAAGGTAGGCAAGGAAACAAAAACAAACAATCAAAAGACAAAAGAAAAGGTTAGTTGAAAGTAAAGCATTCATTAATCCCGTTGGGACTAAGAGTGCCCAATAGGTGAATAAGCCGCATTTCTTTGGTCTTGCGACAATCATTGTTGCCGTTAATCAAAGAAAACAATGAAGTCAGAAAGAGAATGGTTAGCTAGAATTATGGAATTGGCAGTTCAATGTTGAGTGTTAAATTCCAAAACTGACCCATCTACGACGATTACACGGTTTTGGCCGCAGTGAGAAGTGGGGTGAATGTTGAATTTGGGGTTGAATATTGAATCAAAGGTTGAATATGGAATCAAAGGTTAAATTGAATATTGCTACAAGCTGCGTGCCATGTGTCATAGACCACCTTCAATTACCTTCCATTTTAACGCCTTACCTTACAAACGAACTTCATAATCTTGTTCTTGTTAGCAATCTTTTCATTAAATTCCTTATTTAAAAAATAAATTATGAAAAAATTAATAAAGAAAAACACAACTACAAATCATCACCATCATCATCTTCCTCATTTGCATTCCACTTTAACATGGATTTCATTGGTCAAACTCACTTAGGCCCCGTCCACACTATGCCAGATAAATTTGAAGCCGCAAATTTCACACCGAAACCGAAAAAAAAGTTTTCCGTCCACACATGAAAACGGATAAAATGTTTCGCGTCCACTCTAGTCTGATCAGAGGCGGCAAAAACGCTTCATTGCACATCTGAGCATGTGCATCGAAGCTGAAATTGAGCCCACGGTGAACTTTTAGCCTTCCCACCATGTTTCCATGACAATCATGACGTCATCGTATCCGAAAAAATTCGGATACGAAATGTTCTCCGTCCACACTAATATGGTTAGCTGGCATTTTAAAATTGTTCCACTCTGGAGACCGTATTCGAAAAAATTCGTTTTTGGTGAAGAATTGTTCCGGATTCGCCCGGACTAGTGTGGACGGTAGGCCTAACCGAATAAATAAAAATTGGGATTTAAATTTATCCGGCATAGTGTGGACGGGCCTTAGATCTCAAAATTTTTTGCAGAAAAAACAATTATACTGGCCATTATTTAAAGCCCTCAGACAAGCGAATAAACGCCAACCCCTCTCCTCCCCCCTAAGTTTAACATACCTCGTAAACATCCTTAATAAGAACTGGTTCATCAGAATCTGGTCCAGCACTTAAGCGCTATGAAAAACAAGCGTATATTAGGCCCAACATAATATATTTACTGGTATGATATTTATTTAACATATTTGAATTTGAACTCCAAGAAATCTATTGGGTATGATGTGGCAATACAGCAACATCTCTCACTGCTGTGTACCATATTTACTTGTTTAAGCGCTGCCCCTGATTAAATGCCGCTCTCAAATAAGTGCAGCACCTAGGAACAAAACTATCAAAAGGGTGCCGCCCCACATGTAGGTTGAGTGTTGAGTTGCAAGAAATGTAGTGGTAGTGTGTGTGGAGCAATCTTCAATATGACTATTTTTATTGTCATAATTATTAACTATTTTCATCATCATCATCATCATCATCAGACATTATCATCATCATCATCACCATCATCATTACTTTTTCCCTTGGTAACAGGTAAATGATTCTGTCAATATTCTTGACGGCAACGCAGCAGCTGAAAGAAAATTTAATGAAGAATATTAACTCATTCCTAATAATGCTTATAAATTGCAGATGCAATTCAGGTGTTACTCAAAGCATTTCTGTGCTATTGTCAAAAAAGCACAACATTCTTTAGACCACATGTTTTGTCAGCACTAATAATTATGGCTGCCCAAACATAATGACTAGCTTCATTGATGAGTTGCAAGCATTCCCACGAGAGTCAAAAGACAAAAACGTTTTGGTGCGGTTAACAATGGATGCTAATGAGAAATCTTTTGTTAAATGGCACCAACATGGCGGTGACGACTTAATGCGCAATTGCAGATTATGTCATCATGAATAGACATAAGTATAACCATTAAATGGTCGAGAAGCGTTTGCCCAGACAAGTGGCAATTTCTTCCACAGACTCCCTGTTGGCTTGAGTTATGTATTCATGCTGATTAAATCCTGGGAAACAGTCATATGCAGAAGTAAAGAATATTTAACCATTAATCGCCGAAGGCAAAGTGAATATCGGGGAATATTTACCGAGATGCAAGTCTTCGAGTGGCTAGGTAAATATTTTCAGATATTCACTGAGGCTGAGACAAATAATTGTTTTAGTATAAACACACAGGTGATTCTTTCAAAAAAGAAAAAGAAAAAAAAGAAGATAAAAGACATTTTTTTCCGGTAACAGCTGCAAAGCGGCTGGCTGCCATTTTGGATTATCGCTGGAGGTGATTATCGTGTGATAGTGTGAGTTACTCGACCAATCAGTGCGCAAGATTTTCAATAATCACCTGTGTATTTTTAGGTAAAATAAAGGCCTAAGACAATGGAAACAGGAATGAGATAATAAACTCTAGACTCACCTAACAAATTTATCTGCTGAGCTGATCTTCACTTTACCAAACAAATAAACAATCCCTACGAAATAAAAATGTGACAGTATTGAGTTAGGATAGGTTATTTCTGTGGTAGGTAGGAAGACAATGTTTATGATATATTTCAAGGTTTTTAAAGCTTTTCAAGCATCACATACCAGGCTGTCTGAATCTGTCTTCGTACGCATCAAACCAGTAAAACTTGAGGACCTTTTCACCTAAAGAAAAAAAGGAATGAGTAAATGACTGAATAAAATGATGGACAAATAAATGAAAAAAAAATTAAAAGAAAGACTAGATGAAATAATGAATGAAAGAGTGAAAAATACATTAATGAAATAATGAATTAATGAAGGAATAAAAGGGAGGAAGGAAGGAAGGATGAATGGATGGATGACTTAATAAATGGATGGATGGATGGTGGGTGGATAGGATGGTTGGACGGACGGTCAGATGGATGAATGACTTAATGAATGAATGGATGGATGGATGGACCGACAGATGATGGACGGATGGACCATGGATGGATCATATAAATAATAAGTGAATCACTAAATAAAAGAATGAGTAAAAGAATAAAAGAGCATGAACTAGAAGAGGATGATTTTTACACGACATACCATTGACATCCTCTAAAGGTAAAGACGATGAGTCCACGTTTACTTCCATCATAACCTAGCAATTGTAAGGAAAGTAGATGAATCAAGCCTCCATATTTTATAGCTTATGAAAAAAGAGCTAATCTCACCTCTTGTTTACAGTCTTCTTGACCCAAAATCGTTTCCCAAGCAGAGCCACCATCTAGCTCTCTTCTCCTAAAAAAGAAACATTTTGGAACTTTAGGTTCTTAAGATAACGGCCAGGAAGTCACTGGTCATGATTATAGTAGGGATTTAAGATTGCAAAATCTGTAACAGCGACGTCTACCGGAAGTGTAAATAACTTCACTTTGGGGTTTCGCTCCTTCAAAATCTGTCTTCCCTGTGGATGAGTTGACTTTACTGACAATATCTTGAATGAAATCTCCAATGAACAGAACCCTAAAGAGAAGTTATTTACACTTCCGGTTGACGTCGCCGTCGTAGATTTTGCAAATCTTAAAGTCCCTATTATGAATAACAACATGGGAACACTACTTCAACCCCATTTAAATATTCCATTTCATTTTGATCCCTGCATCTATCCTGAAGTTTTAAAGGATGTCAACTGTGGGGGGAGGGGTGAGTTTGTCACCAAAAGCAAACGATTTTCTTACGTTGATGGCAGAAGCTTGGGAGCTGGTTTTTCTTCTTTCTCCTCTTCCTCCATCTGCAAGAAATTAATTTAAATCGATGGTAAATAAACGGATGGAATGAGATGAATGTATGGGCAAATAGAATGGATGGATAGGTGGGATAGGAATATTGATGAAACGATGGGACGGAATAAGATAAATGGATGGATCAAATGGAATAAGGTGGATAGATAGATTAGTGGGATGGACGGATAGGTGAAAAGGAAAAAATGGATAGAAAGATGGAATGGAATGAGAGGAATGGATGGAATGAGATGAAAAAAGGGCAATTGGGATGGATCGATAGGTTGGATGGAAAAATGGATGGATGAGATGAAATGAGATGGATGGGATAGCATTGGATGGTTAGATGGATTGGTGGGATAAAAAAGTAGAATGATGGATGAATAGTTGAACAACTGGGATGTATGGGTGGATGAATGGATGAATGGGATAATATGGGATGGAGTGGGATGGGTTGATAGGTGGGAATGACAGATGAACGGATGGATTAATCCAACCAAAATAAAGAAATTACCCACCTTTTCTTGCTTGATATGTGGTTTACGATCTTCTACTGCATCTAGTGCTTCCAGTGCAGCAGCATCCCCCAAGTCATCATTGACATCATAATCATAATCGTCATATGCCATATCTGTTTCTTGTACATTATTGGATGCATGGTCTGCATTAAGCAAAAAAAAACATGTACAATAGTTTAAAATAATATGAAAAGATGCTATAATTAATGCCTGTATTATATACAGCTGTAGTCGACCATCATAATGATGACCATCACCATCATCATCACCATCACCATGTACATAACATCACTATCATCATCTACATTATCACCATCATCATAATTATCAACAACACCATCATCATTACCATCATCATCATTATAATCATTATCATCAACATCATGTACATAACATCACCATCATCATCAAATACATCATCATCAGCAAACCATTGTCATCATCAATATCTTGCACTACTCACCTTCCTGTGTATCGTCTCCTTGATTCACGTCAACAGCCTCTCCAACCATGCCTCCATAACCATCATTATTATTAGCACTGTAATCATCATCATAATCTGATGCTTTACGCTTGGCTAGATGAGATGGCTTCACTTGAGATGCCATCTTGGAGGGCCTCATGGTATCCAGTGATGACGGTCTTGCAGGACGGCCTGCAGACTATAAAATTTTAGAAAACTCATTCATAATTCATGAGGAAAACAAAATAGAAATCATGACCATGAAGGAGGTTTTATATCGGATATAGATTCATCTTCATTTGCATAAACTTTAACTTGGATTTTCTCTATCAAACTTGGTTCATTTCGTAAAGAATTCTGTACATTATGAGAACATACATCATGAGTTTTCTAAGCTGTTCAATAAACTCGCAGATTGTGTTTTATCGGGTCTAAAACCACTCGGCTATGCCTCGTGTTTTATACCCGATAAAACACTCCTGCTCGTTTATTAAACAGTACATAATAAATAATATATATGTATTTATAAATTATTAGAGATTTAATGAGTGTGCTGATTGGCTGGCTACTGTTTTTATATCAGAAATATTTCATAAAAGCAATATAAAACAGCTGCTTATGTCTCTGTACTGTAATATAAAAACTCTGGGAGATGTAGAGCATGAGAGAAGCAAGATAAACACTCAGGTATGCCTTGTGTTCCTAAACTTGCATCTCTCTTGTTCTACAGCTCCCAGCGTGTTTATATTACAGTATATAACCACGTGCGTGTTTAATATTCCTTAAAAAAATATATATGTACATAAATAACTGTTATACTGTTATGTAGATCTTGCTTTTTGATTGGTTGAGAGCTTGTGCTCTAGGTAAAACATGATCTTAAATGGGAAAAAATTACGGCAAAGCCGAGATGGTCTATGAGTCCAAGACCCTGGATGCATGTGAGAAGTTCATGGGAAGCACGGGTGGCGTAGCGGCATGAGCGCTCGCCTCTCATCAATGCGACCCGAGTTCGAGTCCTGCCGGGTTCGGTGTTGTATATGAGTAGAGTTGTTTGTTGGTTCTCTCCTGTGCTTCGAGGGTTTTCCGGGTTCTCCAGTTTTCCTCCCTCCGCAAAAATCAACTCCTAAATTCCAATTCGATCATGGAATGAGGGCCACAGGTTTGTTAGCCAATATCTATTAAGTGCTACCCTCTTGAAAAAAGGATTATTTATTTATTTATTTTATTTAAGTGCATGTATGTCTACACCGAGAAGGTCTATGAGCCTATGACCCTTGATGCATGTGAAATGTGCATGTAACCTTTACACTTACATGTACATTGGGAAAAAATTACATGTGCATACCTGCAATCTTCTTGGAGGTGCTCTGTGAGTTGGAACACCAGGGGGGGTTCTGTAGGGAGTATTTGTACATAAGAATTGCGATGTTTTACAACAAACACATACAAAATTCATTAACGTTTCATTCTCTGGGGAATTCTACTTTGCAGACAAATCAACAGGAAGCACGGGTGTTGTAGTGGTTAGAAAGCTCGCCTCTCACCAAGGCAGTCTGGGTTTGAGCCCAGCCGAGCTTGGTGTTGTATGTGAGTTGAGTTGTTTGTTGGTTCTCTCCTGTACTTTAAGGGTTTTTCTCTGGAATCTCTGGTTTTCCTCACTCCCTAAAAATCAACTACTAAATTCCAATTCGATCCTAGGAGATATTCACGATAGGGTTAACCTCAATATCTACTTTCGCACTCAATGATGGAATAAATTAGTGGTTTTTTCCCCAAAGGTTGCTTAACATACCTGAAAGGATTCAGCCTTGACTTAGGTAGCTTTATTGGATTAGACCTTGGATTCTAAAAAAACATAAGCAATGCCTCTCAGTATAATTTGTTAAATATTTGGCACAAACAGGATTTTTATGTTTCATGTCGAACAACATGTAATAACCCTAAGTTGTCTTATAAGTCATGTTTCATCTTAACTCTTATGAAACAATAGTCTTGCCAGCCAAGGCAATTTTCCATACTCTTTCTATTATCTGAGATTCGTGGAATCAGGCAGAACAAGGGTATGCAATGCTCATATCAAGAATTTGTGGGGAGGGGCCTCGCATGGGACTCTAGGTCCAGCTTCGTGCCCACCCTCTTGGTCCTTCTTTCTTGTATTATTATTTTTTCTTCAGTAGGTTTGTTAATTATTTTGTTCATTGAGAAATTTAAAGGCCAATAAAGCTGTTAAAAAAATTTTAAAGCAGCTATGCCATCTGGGGCTATTCCCTGTACTTTCACTTTTATTATTAGCTTAAAGGTTATGTATCAATACCATATTAAATGATTTATCTTTTATTAATTTAAGCAATTAAACACCTTGTATCTTACCTCTACTTCCTTGAGAATATCGTCCAAAAAGTCATCATTTCCAAGAGTCGTTTTATCAGACTGAAAAAGTTGTAAGATTCAAAAATTCATACATTCTCTGGATTACTACAATCTTCAAAAAACTGAAGGCAATTTTTTTCTCTTTTTTTGATACAAAATTTTCAATAAACCCAAGTACAACCTTTGTAGTTATACTTTTATATCCCTAAAACATATTCACACCTCTGTCTTCTTGGCTTTGGCACTTGCAGCAAGGAACATCTTGTTAATGGTCTTTGGTTTAACAACTGGCTTTTTTACATTCTATCAAACAATGAATAAAAAATGTTAATTGACCAACAATAGAAGAAAAAGTAAGTACAGAATCAAGATGAGGTTGAATGACAAAGAAAGGAGAAGGAAGATGGAGAAACGTTTAGGGTAAATGGAATTCAGAAAGAGGAGGACCAGCTTAAAAATGAAAAAGCAATCATGCTTGAATAGAAAAAGGCAGTCTTATCTCTCCACACTACACAGGCTGCATCGGAGGGACATAAAAGAACCACTGAGGATGTAAAGAAACCCTGGCAGTGGCCTTTACTAATGTCTTAATGGATTGATAATGGGAAGGTATGGGAAAATGTTGCAATGCAGGGCACGAAATTAACTTTTAAACCCACTAGCAAAACCTTACTAGCAATTTTTTTTTTCATTCGAAAAAATTTCAAAGTCACTAGCGATCGGACGCGGTGAATAACAAATGTTACTTGATGCTGGTTCTAAACTTTTCAGTCCTTCAATTTCTGGACTGTGGTCATACTCGCAAAACTTAGCTAGTTACATTTTTGTCACTCGCTAAATACAAAATTTCACCTGCATTTTGCGAGTTTGCAAGCATTAATTTTGTGCCCTGCAATGTATCTTGAAGATGACCCTGTGATCTAATGTGCAGTACCAGTCTGCAGGCAAAATGGAGGCAGCATGGTTGAGTGGTCATAGCGTCAGCCTTGCAATCTGGTGGTGCCGGGTTCAAGTCCCGCTGTGGCCACTAGCTGAGACTGTATTTGTCCCAATTCCTGATTAGTTCAGATTCAGTTTCTCGACCATGCTTGTTAATAGCCAACTGGTTTGCCTCCTTGCCAGTTGGGATTCTTAACACGCTTTATGTTTATTTAATCATTCATTTCAGTTTAATTGTAGGAGGGCCATAATGGAAACTACTGGGTTATCAGTAATGTATGTCACCCTCGTTAAATAAAGTATTTTTATTTTAGTAAATTTATTTATTTCATTTTATTTGAAATCTCAATAATGAATAAATATTAATTTAAAACACCAGTCATACTTACAGGTTTTTTAGACTTTTGGTTAGCAGATTTCTTGGCTATAATAGTACGAAGATAATAAACAAATTCAAAAACATTTCTATACTGAAATTATGATCTCTGCTGTGAACTGAACTGTGTTTGATGGTTTTGAACAAAAGAATTTTGTACATGTAAACTAACCTTGGCTCGAGTCTTCATCCAATTCATCATCAAATATCTCTCTTCCATCATCAGCATAGCCATCTAGAAATAAAAAATAAGATTAGGTAAAAATAATTATAATAACAATGATGATAATGATAAAAAATGATGATGATGATGGTATTGGTCATGAGAATGAATGAGAATGGTAAGAACAGGCCATCGCTGTTTAACATCTCTTAATCAGACACAACTGTCAGGCCAAGGTCTAACGATTTTCAAAATTTTTAGAGTAAAATGCAGCACCGCCGATATTTTAAGACCCTGTGTGTTGGTCGGGCTGTGGAGTCTTGAACCCGCAACCTCCGACACAATACAGTCAACTCTTGCCTTACGGTCACCCTGATATTACGGACACCTTGCTATAATGACGAAGAAATGACCGTAATTACTTCTCGTTATTTCGGACGCTTGCTATTACGGACACCAAGTAAAGGTCCCGAGGGTGTCCGCTGTAAAGAGAGTTGACTGCGTGTATAGTGATGCTTAAACCAACTGGCTCAACTGGGTGATGGTTCAATAACTTTTCTATCCCTTTAAAAAAAATCTCCCCCTCAAGGAGTGTTTATTGGAGTTCTACTGTACGTTACCTATTGTCCCGTCATCGACAACCCAATCATCTTCCTGTCGCTTTCTGACAACTTCTGAGTACTCATCTTCTGAGACAACTTTGTAAACATCCTTCACATCTCCAACCTTTTATAAACATCCAATCAATAATACCTTAGGATTAAAACCAATTAAAACTTATAGACTTATTCAGTATTTTTTACTAAAGTTCTCTAGTTTTCCTCTCTGCAAAACCCAACCACCCTAAATTCTAATTTTATCCAATTTTATCTGTGAGTTAGCTGTTTCAGGGTTCTATCTGTGAGATAGCCGTGCCCTGCCTTAGATCAGCTCAGAGATTGTTTCAGCATTCTATCTGTGAGTTAGCTGTGCCCTGTCTTAGATCAGCCAGAGGTTGTTTCAGGGTTCTATCTGTGAGTTATCCATGCCTTGACTTAGCTCAGCAGTAGCAGATCCAGGAATTTTAGAAGGCAGGGGGGATGGGGGTGACTATTACAAATGTTTTACCAGGAATGTGAGGAAAAGGGGGGTGACTTACTAAGGATAATACTGAGAAATTTGATCAAACGAAGGAGGGGGGGGGGGAGGGGGTGACTATTCCCCCCTTTGCCACCCCTGGTTCTGCCACTGATCATCCCAGAGGTTGTATCAGGGTTCCATCTGTGAGTTAGCCATGCCCTCACTTACATCAGCCCAGAGCTGAGGTTGTTTCAGAGTTTGAAAAAAAATGATCCTCGTTGTTGTCGTAATTGCCGGACCATTCATAATAAAATTATCTTATATGTTAACCTCACAGAGAGTGATTCCCAAGTCTCCTGAGCGAGATGCTAATGACAAAAATTTTTGATACCAGATTTGATCAGCAAGTCATCCTTGTATTGGGAGGAAAACTTGAAAATTTGAATGAGTTTTCGACCAACATTAAAACATTTTTTGATTTTCTTCTCACCTCAAAGGCCGAACGTTCTCCTGTTTCTCGGAATTTCCTAAAAAATAACCAAATAAATGACACAATATGTAACTTAAATTATAATTTTCTTAACAGCATCAATTAAATCTTAGAATTAAAGATAATAAAGTTTTAAACAAAATTGTAGTTCACCTAATTTTTTCCAGGGCAGTCGCTGCATTACTCTGCTTCTTAGGACGTCTTGAACGACGAGAAGCGAGCGTATCTGAGATAAAAATATATACCAAGGCGTAAATTATACATCTGTGTTTTTAAACTGTAAAATTCCTGGAAATCGGAGCAACGAGAAAGGAGAAATACCGTCTTGTTGGTCAGCTTCGGTAACTCCAGTTGGCGCCATATTGGTTTTGGAAGTATTAAAAATGGCGCGAAAGTAGCTTGTGTCTTATTGGTTGATAGGAATGTTAGGGGAGGGGAGGGTTGGTAATTTCATAGTACAGGCTGCCCAATGTACAGTTTATTGTCTATTTTTATTTTCGTCTATTTTTATTTTTGTCCTAATTTTTATTTTTGTCTTTATTTTTATTTTTATTTTCATTTTTGTCTTTATTTTCGTTGTCTTTCTCGATCTCATTCTCATTCTCCTCCTTGGCTGATGATTTATCTATCAGGGACGGATTTAGGGGGTAGGCTATGATAAACTTAAGCCAAAAACTACTTAATTCTTTCACATACCCATAATACTTTGCGGCTTTTGGGAGGTAACTAGAGAAAAAACCCGCTTTTATGTTGCTCAAGGCTGATCAGACAATGTTGAAAATGTGTCGTTTGATATCCAAATATAAAATAAAGAAGTAAAAAACAGAAAGATAGAGAAGAAGTTTGAAGTAAATTTTGGACCTTTATTCGTAAGTTAATACATTTTCTGTGAACACCAAACCCTTTGATGTTCTGGACGACAAAAGTTAACTCAGAATGACCCATCGTTGCCTCGTGAGTAAGACTCATTGCGAAATATCATATATAGATCGAGATATCGATTTTTTACATACAATTAAAATGCATTTATATTCTAAGACAGACAATTGTAATTTTCAGCGATCGCGGTTTGTTCCAGAAATTATGGTATATATAAAGTGTTTCAAAAATTAAACACTCTTTAGCTTTTCCGACGCATAGCAACAGCTAGTAACTAGGGAGGTTATAACAAAGAATTCGGGATCGATGTATCCTCTATGCCGTTTTTCAAAACACTGTGCCTCGTTCACAAAAATATAGAGTTTTCGAATTGTTCATTATGCACGTATTTATCCGTATTCGAAAAGTTACGTAATTAATTTTAACCAACCCGCAGAGATCAGAAATCTTCCGTTTTCACAAATTTTTCGGATACCGCAATTGGCGGGACCTTAGCAAAACTAATTAAGGTTTATAATCTTTAAATAAGCGCGTTTATTTATCGTTACCATGACAACGCTTTATATTATCGCCATAATGATCCGTTGTTATGGTAACACAACATAATGGTCGACCGTTGCCAAGACAAAACACAACAAATTATAGTGTAAAAGAGGTGGAATTATTATGATCAAAATCATTCAAGGCAACATCTCATGATCATTGACTGAAGGAATCAAGGAGGCATATTATGGGTTGTGCAGTATCTGGTGAACAGCGTAGGGAAGTAAGATACGTTTCTGTCCCTAATACAAGAATTATTCACGTTCTGCCCCCGTTAAGTATAGTACGAATGTCTCAGGTCGAAGGGTCAACGAATCGTTTCGATAAAACGGCAAGTACTTCTTGGGTCTACAGTAGAAGCAATCATGTCCAATCGAAAATACAAGCTCCAGAATCACCCCTGTTAACAGATTTACAGATGTGGGGGTGATAAAAAAGATATGACTGGGTGATAGCGCCAGTAGAAACTCATGGGAGAGCCCCTTACAGCCGTGAGAGATGGTTTGAATGTACGATTTAATTTCAACACTTGCCTGCGTACTAGATGGTAAAAATGAACGGATAGGAACAATAATCAATCAATCAATCAGTTTATTCAATCTACCTTTCTGGAAATATAGTAACAAGTATTCAAAATTCTATTAACAATAATTGTAGAAATATGTAATAAAAGAAATAGTGATTGCAGATTTTATAATTGAATGTATATATATCMAGAAGGAAGACACCTAAAGAAGAAACCATAGGCTTATATTCTTGAGGTGTCTTATATAAGCTTGGGTAATTTAGATATAATTATTTGATGAAGCATGAAGGTGTATATTGTCATATATAAAAATGAATTATATAGAAATAAATACATATTAGTGCACATGAAGTTAAAGTTAGAAAGTATTAATTTACAATGATCAGTAATTATAAAGAGTTCATTTACAATTTAATTAAAAAAAAAAAATACAGATATTAAACTCAATTGATAGATTAAATTAATAAGCACGTAAAGATCAGTGTTTAGACATAACAGCTGATGAGATGCTTTTTTAGTGTAATTTTGAAAATAGATTTTGAACTTGCTGACCTAATGTGATTGGGTAGCATGTTCCACAGTTTTGGCCCTTGACTTATTACTGTGAATTGTTTAATTTGATATTGGTTCTACAGAAAGCAGGTCTATAATTATTTGACTGTCTAGTTGGATAATTATGGATTTGGGAGTTTTTTACAAATGTGCTTCACCATCAGGTAACAGTACTGAAATCCAAAGTTCACTACAACATAAGACTCAAGGTGACCTTATTCAAGACAATGGTACTATAACCGCAGCCATTCCTGAAGAAGAAGAAAAGGAAAATGAGATCAAACAGCATGACAAAGACAGCTTCCCTTGTAAGTTGTGTGATATAGTTCTAGAAAAGGCTAATGAATACTACAAACATCTCAAAACACACTGTTCTAAGTCATCTAATAAATGCCCAGTGTGCAAAAATGTTTTCAAGAGGAAGAGCTATTTGTTTATGCATCTAAAGAATCATTCGCAGCCTAAGATTCATGATGGTAAATCTGACAAAAATCTGACTGAATCTCAAGATAAAGTAAATGAAAAGAAGAAATCCCTTAGGCATTCTACATTACAGAAAACACACGAACACATTCAATCAAATTTACGACCGTTTAAATGTAAGCATTGTGAAAAGACCTTCAAACTTAAAAGATACTTGAAGGATCACATGAAAAGAATACATTTGAATGACAGGCCGTTTAAGTGTTCATACTGCAACAAGGCATTCAAACAGCTAGCAACTCTTAAAGTGCATGAACGCATCCATTCCAATGTTAAACCATACAAGTGTAAATTCTGCAATAAGGGGTTTGTGCAATTTGGTAATCTCCAGGGGCACGAGCGTGTTCATTTGGGTTTAAAACCATACAAATGCAAGTACTGCAATAAAGCATTCACATTTCAACATTCAGGGGTCAAACATGAGCGAATTCATACAGGCACTAAGCCATACAAATGCACAACTTGTGACAAGGCTTTCTCAGAAAAAGGTGCCTTAAATAAGCATAAAACTACCCATTCGGATGCGAAGCCTTTTAAGTGTACAAAGTGTGACCATGCATTTAAATGTCACAGTTACCTTGTAAGTCATCAAAGAATTCATTCAGCTGAGAAGCCATACAAGTGCACATACTGTGACAAAACCTTTCGAGTAAAAAATAACATGAAAATACATGAACGCATTCATTCAGATCAAATGCCTTACAAATGCTCGAAGTGTGACAAAGCATTTAAGCATAAAAGCATTTTAAAGCTACATGAGCGTCGCATCCATTCTGATGTTAGACCATACAAATGTACAGTGTGCAGTAAAGGGTTCGCAGTAGCTGGAGCCCTTAAAGCACATCAACTGATCCATATGGGTGTTCGGCCTTATAAGTGCTCCAAGTGTGACCGAGCATATACTTTGCCAGGCAACCTAAACAGACATGAGCTATCAGCACATTCTGGAAGTAGGCCACATAAGTGTACACAATGCAATAAAGCATTTGCTGAAAAGTCCTCACTTAAAGCTCATGAGCGCACTCATAGTGGTTTAAAGCCTTTTAAGTGTGAAACGTGCGACAAGTCATTTACAGAAAAGTATACTTTGAAAAATCATCAACTAATTCACCAAGAAATTACACCTTTCAAATGTACTTATTGCGATAGAACATTTAAAAGAAAACAGTACCAGCAAAGACATGAAACCATCCATAAAGGTGTTAAGCGATACAAATGTAATCATTGTGGTAAAATGTTCCGAGTCTCAGGCGAATTACGTAAACATGAGCGAATTCATATGGGCATTAAACCTTTTAAATGTAAGCACTGTGACAAAGCGTTCACACAAAGTTACAATTGTAAAGTGCATGAACAAGTAGTCCATGAAGGTGTTCGACCATTTAAATGTTCCTACTGTAGCAAGGCATTTGGCCGACGAGCATCGCTTCAATTTCATGAACTCTCACATAAAGGCAAAAAACACAAATGCACTACATGTAAAAGGTCATACTGTAGACTTCTTGGCCTTAAACGGCATAAATGCAGAGTTTTTAAAGATTGCAAATGTCCACAGTGTGGAAAAGTATTCCTGAAAAAGATTCATGTTGAAAAACACATACGAATAGTTCACGATGAAATAAAAGAGTACCAGTGTACTCACTGTAGTAAAGTCTTTGCGAGACTAATTACACTTCGTAGACATGAACGCATTCATGTTTCTCTATAGGCATTATATATAAACATATTTGGCCCTCAAAAATGTACAGTATACAAGAGTACTTCAATGTTATTATTGCCAAAGTTAACAGAAAAGTGACATAATTGCATAAGGCTTTTCGCAACTACACAAAAAGATGGCAAAACAAACATGGCTGCGGATAGCAGTGCTAAACAAAAAGCTCCATGTCCATATGTACCCCATTTCATAACAGTACTAAGTAGACATTAAAACATTTTTCTTTTGTTCAATTACTTTGACTGTTACAAGGATTTTATAAAAATTTCAATTAAGTTGGAGTGGTTTTCATAGATTGCAAACAATAAATCCGTGAAACACTAATTACTAAATAGTACGAAATAGTGCTAATTAAACAATAGAAAACAATGGAATTTGCATGAAATTGTGCTATTTAGTATTACTAAAGTTTCACGGTTATATTGTTTGTGCTCTAAGCCCATGAAACAAGAGTACTAACTAGAGTGTTAATGGTCAGATAAACACAATAGAAAACAAAATAATTAGAGTGTAATAGTACTAAATAAACTAAAGTGTATTTTATGCGTTTAAGAAACCACTGTAGTAGGTGGATGATTTACTGAATTAGGAGGCCATCTGTATGGCCCTGTAGGTATTAATATTTGTGATGACATAATTTGATTTTTTTTTTAAGTAGCAAATCCAGGATTGGTTCAATGGCTTCCATGAATTGGAACCATTTTGAAGCCCCTTTTTTCAAAATTCTGGATTCGCAACTGTTTATGCATGCATATGCCCCAGGGGGTAGTCCCCTATATTCGATCTACGCATACATGCCGCCAAACAGGGTATGGATCAGGGTTTGAGTTTCAGCAATTATACTCTGGAACAGGGCATATGAAATCATGCTCTCTCCTCTCTGGAACAGGGTATCCATTTTCGCAATACCTGAACAGGGTATGGTTTTCACCGATCTTGCTCTGGAACAGGGTATGAGTTTCAGCGATTTTACTCTGGAACAGGGTCAG